TCCAAGAACTAATATATCATTTCAATATTTATATATTAAAATAATTTTTTTTAATATATTAATTTTTAAAATATTAGAGAATATTATCTTATACAATACCATACCAAACACTATACAGTATTAAAATTTAATCAGATCCTATCCATCAAACCAAACATGCCGTGAATCTCTAAAAGCTAGCTGAGATTTTCTCTTTTTCTTTTCCGCCTAAATGCAACAGAGTACACAATATTAAAGATGCAGAAGTGTATACTAAATCCAAGCATAAGGCCATTAACAACGGGGGGTCAAACTGCCCTCTTTCTACGCTATTTATCATAAGGTCATCATCTCTTTGGGAACAGAGATGAAGTGAAGTGAGAGAGCGTACAGAAAAAGGGAACTCATTGGACCGTTGGATTCAATTTTCATCTATGGCTATAGAAAATAATTTGTGTGACTTGCTAACAGAGAAATGAAATATACTAATAACTTTTGCTATTAGTATATTCAATGAAAGGCATGAAATAGCTTTATATATTATTTATTTAAAAAATCTAAACTATATTGTACTTAATATTATGCAATTTGGACTTTAATATAGTTTTTAAAGAAAATCAAATTATATCGGTTTAAAAAATATTTACCAAAACATTGTAGTTGATCTCGCTTCGCTATGGGGCCTAGTGAGACTAGGGTGTTATAGTCTTGGTCATTCACCCTATATTTTATTTTCTCTTCCACAGTTCCACCCTTATTTTTTCAATTTACATAATTATTATTTAATATCATATTAATAATTAATATCTAATAATTAAGATAGTAAGATAGTTAAATATAAGTAACATCGTAAATAAATTTTATTTCTCTAGTACAATCTATGAAAATACCCGAAAATTTAAAATTTTCAAATTTATTGTAAATAATAACAATTTAATGGTAGATGTTTCTTTATTTTTTTCTATTTGTCTGAAAAATTCAAAATCCTAATTATTCAAATACCAAAAAAAATTAAATGTAGTGTGAATCAAGAGAATGTAATATCAAATGAGACACAGAACAAATGTTTCAACACTAAGACTGTTTTGCTATATATCATAGCTATTGTAAGGTGTCATATTGAATCATCTTATATCAGCTTTTGACTGTTCGAGTAACTAGTAATCTGTTAATCCGAGTAAGTAATTTCGACATAATATATATTTTTTTTTTCAGGATGCATCGTGTCAGAGATAGCATTTCTAAATCAGTGTGGCATTTCCAATAATTGAGGTGTTACGGCTCAATTACTCATTCTACAATTTGCATTATAACATTTATTGAATTGAATCAGGTTGGGTTGACAACTGTAACACCACCTGTCCTTTTCCTTTGCAACTCCCGAACACAGAATCACATAATAACCCTACCTGAATGATAATTAATCGCTTGGTTAACGTGTGCTAAATTCTTTGTTGCCAAGGAGAAGAGTTATCATTTTTTTTTTCAGGTAGAGTTATACTTGACCGTCAGATATCTAACTAAAAACGACTGGTAGATTGTATACAAAAAAAAAACGACTGGTAGATAGAACCGGGTCTATTGGGGGGAGAAGGAAAGAAAATAAATACAGGGTTTATTGTACAGAAATTTAGAATACGTTTGGTACAAAGAGTTTTTTAAAATTTCCAGAAAACTTTATTCACGTTTTGGTATGAGATTTTTAATTTTTTTTTGAGAATTTAATTTTCTCAGGATTTTATTTTTTGTACAAATTTTTTTAAAAATACTATTCAAAAATATCATCCACGAGGTGGTATTTTAAAATTTCTATGACCAGAAAAATTTTAATACAACAAAATATAGTATCAAAAAAATTAACTCAATATTTCTGAAAATATATTAGTCTACCAAATAACTTTTTGATAATATTTTTAAAAAGCTCATTTTTTAATTGTATTTTTAAAAATCGTAATTTTCTGATAAAACAAATTTCTCTTCTGCGAAATTCATTTATTTTTTTGGTAAAAGGCGAGTTATCACGGTCAGGGTTCGAAGCCCAAAACCTTCCATCTTCTGTCCATTGAAGTGAGATAATAAAGTGGATTATACCAGAGCTCTTTAATTGTTGTGTTCCGGTAACACCAGTCGGTATGCGTCGTTTTGCTCAAAAATCAAAACAATGAACCGTACAGCAAACGATCATAATTTAGTTGGTGCATGTTGAGTAAACGGGACAAGAGTATATGTTTAATTTTTTTTGTATCATTTTGCAGAGAAGTTTAAAACATTAATCTGAATCCGTCCCGAATTAAATTAATTACGACCCGATGAACTTATTGAATATTTTCAAATATAAAATAAAATAATAATTAAACAAATCAACAATTCAACATAATCTTTAGGGACGTGTAGTAGAAGAAAAAAAAAATTAGCAGGAAAATACAATTATTAGGAATATGATAAAAAAATGAGTTTGGTAGAAAAATAAAAAAAAGTTGTTTGGTAGGCCAAAATATTACTGAAAAAATTGGGTTAGATTTTCTGAGTCTGTGTTTGGTTGAAGGTAAAATATTGATAGAAAAATGAGATGAAATTACCAAACTAACCCTTAACTAAATATAAAGAAGACTTTATCTCTCCGTATTTCTTTTGGCATGTTTTTTTAGAAGGGATATTTATGTCTATTGCTTTTTTTTTCTAACTTTTTGGTTTGATGGAGTAACGAGAATACCACCCCCTGGATGATATTTTAAAATGGCAAAATTTTTCAATTTTACACACCAATTGAGATTGTTATGCAAATTCGAATGATAGGTAAATTTTTTAAAACCTCCTATCAAACATAGTTAATTAGAAAACTCATCTCAACTTTTCTAATCATCCAAAAAAGAAAGGGTTTCTCTTTTCTCATGTCACATGAGATAACATTTCTCATGCTATAGACACAACGAGTGATAGGTCTCATCACTTATTAAAAAAAAAATAGCATGGATTTCGATGCCTCAACATGAGAAAGCAATCTCCAACAACATGAGAAAGCAATCTCCAACAACATGAGAAAATGATTTTTCAAAAAGGAACCTTCTAGCAAACAACACCCTTAAGGGACATTTGATAACAGAATTTTTTTTATCCAAAAATAAGATGAGAAAATGAATTTTTTGAAAATATTACTAAAAATTATTTGGTAGGTCAAAAATATTAAATTGATTTTTCTAATACTATATTTAATTATTTTTATCTGAAAAATTGATGCATATTCAGATATTCTTGCATCATTCGAGATTCCTAAAATAGGATTCCCTCATGATATTTTAATTTAAAAAAGAAAATATTACTCTCATGTGACATGAGAGAATTCTTCTCTCATGCACTTACGAATCAAGGGTGGGACTTGCTCTCTATTTTTTTTCTCCTCTATTCTCTCCATCTCTCCTCTAAGTTGTGAGTGCATTAGAGAAGAATTCTGTCATGTCACATGAGAATAAGGGTGTGCATGACAACCTTCCCAGAATCAATACTTTATTAATTTCTGTTCCCGGGAACAGAAATGAATAGGAAACTCGTTTGGTAAAATCAGTTTATTTTTTTGTTCCCTGGATGAACTGGTTTAATTTTTGTGCTCAGGAACAGAAAAAAGAATAAAAAAATTGCTGTTTTTTTTTTCCGGACACAAAATGAGAAACACTTATTTCTCACAATTACTCTTCACCACTATCATCATCATCGCCACCATCATCATCCTGACATGACCACTGCCACTATCGTCGCCACCGCCGTTGTACCACCAATGTCATCGTTACAACCACCACCACCACGATGCCGCCGTCACCATCACCACCACCACCAACATGATGTCATCGCCACCACCTCCATCATGCCACTGTCATCACCACCATTACCACCGCCGCCGCTGCCATCACCACCGTCAGCGCCACCACCACCACCATTACCATTATCATTGCCACAACCAATGCCATCACCACCACCCCCACCACCATCACTGTCGCTGCCACCACCACCATTATCGCCACAACCACGCCAACACCATGCCACCACCATTATCATCACCACGTCATCGCCACTGCCATACCGTCACCAACCACCACCACCACCATCGTCGCAGCCACTGCCGTCACCACCACCACTACCATGTCATCACCAACACTACCTCGCCACCAACCACCGCCGTCGCCGCCACTACCACCGCCACCATTACCACCACCACTGCCACCGCCACCGCCACCACTACCATCGCCGCAGCCGCTACCATCACCACCACCACCACTACCATCACCACATCATCGCCACTGCCACCACGCCACCGTCACCAACCACCACCACTATCACGCTACCACCACCGCCAATGCCACCACTACCACTACTACCACCACCATTACCACCATCATTGCCACAGCCACTGCCATCACCACCACCATGCCATCACCATTACCATCACCACGTCATCGCCATTGCCACACCGTCACCAACCACCACCACCATCGTCGCAGTCACTGCCGTCACCACCACCACCATGTCATCACTAACACCACTATGCCACCACTACCACGCCACCAATCGCCGCCACTACCACCACCACCATCGCCACCACTACCACCACCATCGACGCAGCCACTTCCGTCAGTACCACCATTGCCGCCGCCGCCACCACTGCCACCATATGAAAAGGAAAGTGATGATCCAAAAAAATTATGCTTGATAGGAATTATTTTTTATTATATTATTTGTTGTGTTTTCAAACGCAATTCTCATCCTCAGAATAAAAATATAACATGTTATCAAACATATTTTTTTCTTAGAAACTGTTCCAAGGCACATAAATAGAAAAGAATTGTTTCTTTTCAGAAACAGTGCCAGGGAACAGAATGATTGTCATGCACACCCTAATATTTCCCTTTAAAAAATAGACAAAATACGGAATACTCAAAAAAATCACTTTCACGAAATTTTTTTTTATACAATAGGCTACCAAACATCGATTCTATAAAATCCATCCTCACTTTCTCATGAATCTAAAAATAATCCTACCAACAGCCCCACAATTGCTTCCTTTCACTCTCATCTCGAATGCTTCTAGAAAACCATCCCCCATCTTAACCTTCACCTTCATTTTTTCTCCTTAACAACCCGCATAAAATTGTACCAAGCTGAGAAGAGAAGAAGGGAACTTGGTCATGCTCCCAAAACTGACATAGAGAACAGAGTTCTCCAGCTTGGAATTAAGCCATTGAAGCCATCCTTCTTCTTCTTGTTCTGCTTTGGCATGCCCCCTTCCAGCCTCATCTGAAGCATCTTGGTTCACCCATAAGGAAATGGGTCCTAAGCTCCAGCTCTTTGTTCCCATGGCTGTCTTGTAATGCTCCTGATAAATCCCCTCCAGGTCCTGGAATCCATCAAACATAAATTATTCGGTAACTTAAACTTAACCTTGTTTTAATGATGTGCAAATAGATCTCTTAAGTGTCTTCAAGTACCTTTAATTCATTTCCTAGTTGTGCTGCTCTCACTACCATAAATTACAGGCCCGAGCTCTGCAAGTCTAGGGTGCTGGACCTTAATGCAAGTGATGACCGTGGGATTAATGTTGTTCGGACTAAGATTAAAGAATTTGCTAATGTGGCTGTTGGCACACATCAGCCTAAGAAGTATGCAAAAGAAACCCATTTTCTTTTTCTTTTTTCCATAAAGTGCTATGGTTTTACACCACCTGCAAGTTGGTGTGCAGAATGCCCTGAGGCTTACGGTGGAAACTTACTCTAAAGTTACGAGGTTCCTGCTCAACCCAAAATTTGAAGAAAAAATTAAGTTTTTGAGCAAAGCTGAGTTGAATATCAATTCCTATAGTTTTCAATCAAGCATTTTGGTTTCTGAGCTTAAAGACCTGTGCTTTGGTCATGGAGAAAGTGGTTGCTGTGATTATGGTGGGTGGACCCACTAAAGGTATTTGAATTCTTTTCTTGTTTTTTTGATCAAAATTTGAGTCTTTTTTTCCATTTTGGATTTTGGGGTTTCCTTCTGTTATATGCTTTTGTTCAATTATTTCTGCAGGAACCAGATTTCGGCCTCTTTCCTTTAATACTCCTAAACCCCTTTTTCCCTTTGACTGGCTGGCCAGCCATTGGTTCATCATCCTATTTCTGCTTGTAAAAAGGTTTGTTTCTTTTTTCTCTTCAACCACCCTTCACACTGTTCCTGACCAAATTGAGAAAACAAGAAGAAACTTTCAATTTCAACGTTGATTTTGCATACTCATTTTTTTTTTTTTTTTTTGCTGTGTAAAAATTGGTCACTGATATATGATATGTGGTCAACATTAGTCTAAAATTCAAATTGAATCTCAGCTTAGAAATTGATGAAGAGGAGATGGGATGATATAACTTAAAGGTGGAATATTTTTACTTACTAGTTTTAAATTCTACAGATGCCCAATTTGGCTCAAGTATATCTTCGTCGATTCTATGAGGAGCGAGTTATCATGGAAGACAACCCAGTTAGAAACACTGCTCTCATGACTGCTTTTACATTATACTGTGGATTAAATTTAGAATGCATAATGTCTAAGATCTAACAGATAGAGTACGGTTTGATTGCAGTCACATATCTTTCTGCTAAATTGTGATGTTTGCTGTAGTTTTCCGCTACCATCCTTGCTTGGTAAGTATGTTGCTATTAAGTCATGGTTGTTCTTCAGAAGTGTGGCACTACTGAAATGTTTCTTTTTTCCCTTTGCAGATGCGCATAAAAGATATGGTGGGATGGGGACAATGTTGGTAATCAAGGTTGCTACATAGAAAATTTTGAATGTATATCCTTGTGCATTTAAATACATACAGATGGTGATATGTCTCTGTATAGATGCATCCTTGTGTCATTGCAAAACCATTTTTTCATTCTCCGTCTGGTGTTGTGAATGTCTTGTGTAGGTTTCAGCTGAATCTGCTAGCCAGTACGGTGAGTTGGTTGCTGATCCAACCACTAATGAAATGCTGCATTATACTGAGAAACCAGAGACATTTGTGAGTATTAAGTTTGGTTTTTTTTCTCTTCATTTTTTTAAAAGTTTTCTTTCCAGGAAAAAATAAATTCCAATGTTGGAGCTTGGTTGCTATAAGCTATATTTCTTTTTAGTATGATCATGCCTGAACAAGATTAACCATTTTATAACCTGCAGGTTAGTGATTTGATAAATTGCGGTGTCTACATTTTTTCACCCCTGATATTTTTACTGCTATCCAAGATGTATCTATTAACCGAGAAGGCAGAGGTTGGTCTCTTTCCATCACAATTCAAAAAGTGTCAATCATAAAAGGGTTGTGTTTAATGAATCAGTTCCTGATGCACAGGATATAACTTGGCTTCATCCTTTAGAATTTTAAACAACAAGTATTGCGTAAAATGGTTATTTGATATAATATTAGGTCTATATTGTATTTCAAGTACTTTTATTTATAATATAATATTTTTTATTTTCACCCCCCTGTCGTTAAAATTTCTGGCTCGGCCACTGTAATCATGCTTGTTCCTGCAATTTGGTGTACTATGATTAACTGGTTTTCAATTTATTTGGATGTGTTTTTTGCGACATAATTTATGGTAATTCTTATAACAAAGGACCACTTTTTTTTTCTCCCTTCCTGTTTTCCCTGACTTTCTAAAATATAAATCTATCAGGTTGTTCCAGCAGAGGTTGTGGAGGCACTTCTTACATCATGCAAAAGTGGTAATTTTGATTTAGCCAACAATGTCATTGCAGAGGGGTATCAAGCCTCTCAGATGCTAACTCGGGGCTTTTTTTTCCAGTTTCTTATTGGAATTCTTGTCAATAACTGTGCTTTACCAAGTTAAGTCTTTTACTGCGGAACTGATTTTATTTTTTTTCAGTTATTTGAGGCCATTATTGAAGATGACATATTAGATGAACAAAAGGCAAGAATATTCAAGAAGCTGGGTGAAGCAAATAAGGTTACTTATGACCTTTTAGTAATTTATATACACACTAACCCCACACACCTTTCCCTGCTCCTGGATATGATTTTAAAACTCAATTTTTTTTTCTGTTGGGTTTGTAATAGCTTCATGAGTTTTGCTTAAATGCATATGCCTATGTTGGGTACAATTCTTACTTATTGCTTGTGGAATTGCAGTGCGGCAGTGCCTAGTTGATGGTGCTGATGAATATTTGCAGCTTCTTGATGTGGTCAGCAATACAATGCAAGCTTTATGTAACATGCCAGAAGGATTTGCTACTTCCCAATATGAGCACTCCACGGTGAAGTATCGCTAGCCCATCTTAACTTGAAATCATTTATCTTGACAAAACTAAGCTTGCTTGAAAAATGAAAATCCATGCTTATTTTTGTAAAAAGTTCCCGTTGAAATAGGATCCACACAAGGAAAAGCACTTGCCATTCGTTGGTTATTAGGGGCATCCCATTTATTAAGACTTTTGCTTACAAATATATATGCTTATGGGAACTGATTTAATAATTTATAGGCGTTCATGAGTTAAATGTTCCCACATGTATGTATATATATATATATATATATATATATATAGAGAGAGAGAGAGAGAGAGAGAGAGAGTACAGAAACATGCCACACACAAAATAAGGCTGATTTTTTTTTTTTTTTTTGACTTTTTATAATGTAATGATTGAAAATTTAGCCAAATATATGAGAGTATGTGTGCTTTCTATCAGAAAATGACATATGCGCATATATCATTGCTATTAATTCCAATTCGCACATAATTTCACATGCTGCTATCATATTTTTTTTGTATGCTTTATTACATTACATTTTCTAAGTGCTAAATTTCTTTGTATTATATATTTTTATTTTATCTGTGTGCGTTGAAATTAAATTATTTTATCTTCAAAATGATTTATATATAGTTAATTTTTAGGAAGATGACTTTACAATTAAATTCTCAAAGATAAGAATAATTAATCACTTAGAATGGAATTATTGGGATTGCAGTAACAATAAACTTATTTGAGCTGCTACACTTTGTGTCCCTGATAAACTTATTTTTAAATAATTAACAGAATTTATCACATTGTATTAAACGTTTATTTAGAGCACTGAGCATTTATTTTAAATTTTTAGTTCAGCGTTATACTTCACATTACATTTATTGGTTGGCTTGCAATTCCCACACAGACTATGAGCAGAATTGACATATTTATATATATTATGGGCATATTTATATATCAATATGGGTTGGTCACCACCATGGAATTTTATGAGCATGCTATTGCTTTTTTTATTTGAGAAGAACTGACATATTTATATGTCTCTTTTTTATGGTAATAATTAGAGTAGTTCGATTCGAGCTGTTGATCTAGAAATAGGAGGATCTCAGTTGCAGTGAACGAACATTAAAATAGCATATATGTAAAAAAGACAGGTAGACACAACGAGAACATTAAAATATAAAATAGCAGAAATGATAGAACAAGAACATTAAAGTTAGGGAGTTGATAAGCAATACTTTTATTCTTTTCCATCTATCACATTTTATTGAGATATTTTACTCTCTTTCGTCTATCTTCCAAGTTGCAACGTTTATTGAGACAAACACTATTGAAAGCACACACCTATTCTCTATCTAGGTCTTTCACTAGGGACATGGAGCATCTTTGTCCCCCCAAGGAAAAACAACATAAACATCAACACTTTCTCCCTGAACGTGGAGGCTACACAACCCCAACCCAGCCCACTCTGCAAGATAATTGTTGTGGCATCCATCGCTGCCGGCATACAATTTGGGTGGCCTTACAACTTTTCTTGCTAACACCATATGTCCAACTCCTTGGTGTTCCACACAAGTGGGCTGCCTTCATATGGCTTTGTGACCCAATCTCAATTTTGGTTTTCTAGCCTGTCATAGGCTACTGCGCCGTCCAATGCACATCTTGCTTTGGTCGGTGTAAGCCATTTATTTTGTCTAGTTCTATCACAATCTCCACGGCAGTGTTTCTCATTGGATAAACTGCCGATCTCGGTCACTTATTCGGGGATGACGTGACAAAGGAAACCCGACCCCGCATAGTGGGATTCTTCTGTAGCATATTGTTCACCACGACCAAAAGCCTATGACGAAGAATCCCATTGCGTAGGGTCGGGTTTCCTTTGTCATGTCATCCCCGAACAAGTGATCGAAGTCGGTAGCGTATCCAATGAGAAACACTGCTGTGGAGACTGCGATGGAACCAGACAAGATAAATAAATGGCTTACGACGACCAAAGCAGGATGTGCATTGGTCGCCGTAGTAGCCTACGACAGGTTGGACAACCAAAATTGAGATTGGGCCACAAAGCCATATGAAGGCAGCCCACTTGTGTGGAACGCCAACGAGTTGGATATATGGTGTAAGGAAAGTTGTAAGGCCATCCAAATTGTATGCCGGCAACGATAGATGGCACGACAATTATCTTGCAGAGTGGGCTGGGTTGGGGTTCTTGCAAAAGTGGTAATTTTGATTTAGCAAACAAGGAGGTCAGCGATTTCATCGCAGAGGGATATCCAGCCTCTCAGATGCTAACTCAGGTCTTTTTTTGCTAGTTTCATATTGGAATTCTCGTCAGTAACTGCTTATTAAGTTAAGTCTTTTACTGTGGAACTGATTTCATTTTTTTTCAGTTATTTGAGGTCATTATTGAAGACGACATATCAGACGAAAGAAGGCAAGAATATTCAAGAAGCTGGGTGAAGCAAATAAGGTTACTTATGACCCTTTAGTAATTTATATACACACTAACCCTCCACACCTTTTCCTTTTCCTGCTCCTGAATATGATTTTACACACAATTCTTTTTTCTGTTGGCATTGTAATAGCTTCATTAGTTTTGCTTAAATGCATATGCCTATGTTGTGGACAATTCTTTCTTGTTCTTTGTGGAATTGCAGTGCCTAGTTGATGGTGCTGATGAATACTTGCAGCTTCTTGATGTGGTCAGCAATGCAAGCTTTATGTAACATGCCAGAAGGATTTGCTTACGAGGGTTAAACATTATATAGTCAGCGTGTTAATTCCCTAGGTTCAATTATTCTGCTGCAAGAAAAATAAACTGGTGAAATTCTGTATAATGAAATCAGACTTGGGCCCCGTTGTTAATTTTGTGTAGAATTGAATTTTGAAGAATTAATCCTCGGTAATTGAACTCAAGTATGGTCCCAGTAACAAGCAAGTCTTCTAAATACTAGCCTAGGACATTCTTAATTGCAAATTTAAGGCTGCAGTTTGAAAATTTAATATATAACGGAAGAATTTTGCTACTTTTGCAATCATATTTAAAACACTTACGTACTTCCCTTTCCTTTCAAGTCCTTCTAAAAGTGTAATCTCAGAACAAGTTCAATACAAATTTTGAATTTTTTTAGTTCAGCTGCAATTCATTTCGTTAGTGTCTTGCTGATTTAATAATTTTATCAGAGCAGAATTTGGTAAAAATAAAAATACCATATACAGTCATCTTAAAGTCTAACAGTAGCATTGAGCCAAGGTATTTATCTCGTATTTATAGTTTTCCCATGCCCATGAATAATTCATGAAAATATTTCTCCACTCAGATAGTACAAGTTTATGTATTTCTGATGTGACTGTCGTTTTTTCTCTTAGATTTCAAGTACAGATGGATATAATATGCATGTGAATTGTTTGTTACTTCAAGGAAAAATTATTTCATAACTTTATGATGTTATGGAGCTTCTAATTAATTGAACGGTCAGAACGAGGAACTACTGAGCATGCCGAAGATTATTAACCTCAGGAAGCAGTAATTGCTCTAAATTAGATCCGTACGTATTATTTTACCTCATGATAATGCTCAAGAACATTAACATTATTTTGTTAATTCTGGTTTTGCATGACAATATTATTATGAGCCATTCAGCCAGTTATAGTATTCATAACCCACAATTAAGGTAATTGTTCGGCCTGTCTGACGAGATTATTGATTGTGGTTCGGGACCACTATTTTTTAGGTGGTCCCTTAGTATAAATGGAGAGGTAAAATTGGAAAAGAAAAAAAATAGTAGGGGTAAAAAAGAAAGAAAAAATTGATGATGTGAGAGGAAGCACTAGATCATTGGGTGATCACCATAATAAATATTTTCCTGTCTGAACATTGTCTTACTCGAGTCTGGCGGTGCCAACATCCTTTTCCTTTCAAATACGAGAAGCGTTTTACACCTTAACACTGTTAGCTCACCATCTAAATGATTGCACGTGGTTCAACACTTCAACTTATGTTGGCCAAGTAACTTCTTATATAAGACTCTTAGACTTTATTTGAGAGATGATTTTTGGAGAGGAAGGAAGAGAAGGGGAGGGTTTTATTAATCTCTTTCCTTGTTTGTGAATTTAAAAAAATAGAGAAGGGAATTGGAGATTTTTGCAAAATCTTCCTAAACCTTTCTCACTCTTAAAATTAAAGTTCTCCCAATTTGGGGGGTTTAAGGGAAAAAATATTAAAAATTACTTATCTATCCTTAGCATTAAAATGTAAAAATTACATAAATACGAATCATTTTTAAATGTGACATTATTAGAAAAATCTCAAATATTGATAGAATTTATCGACGAAAAATATTTTGTTGAAAATAGTGACGAAATTTTTGACAAAAATAACATTACGTCGAAAATAGAGACGAAACAATATTTGGCCATAATCACTGACATAAATTTTTTCGTAAAAAAATACAGTTAAAATTCTTGATAGAATCTAAATTCCGTTGAAATTTTCAACAGAAACATTTCCGTCGAAATTTTTTGACAGAAAACAATTCCGTAAAAAAATTTGTAGAAAATATTTTAGTCAAACTTTTTTACAGAAAATATTTCCATCAAAATTTTCAACGGAACACATTTCCAGTGAAAATTTTCGACGAAAAATATTTTTGTAAAAAATTTTGATAGAAAATTTTTCTTGTCAAAATTCTTTACAGAATCTAAATTCTTTCAAAATATTTGACAAAAAAGCATATTCGTCGAAATTTTCGACGAAGAATATTTCCCTCTAAATTGTTAACGAAACACATTTCCATTGAAAAATTTTCATAAAAAGTTTTGACAGAAAACATTTCGGTAAAAAGTTTTGATGAAAAAAAATTCGTCAAAATTCTTTACATAATCCAAATTTGGCCAAAAGTTTTTGACGAAAATATTTTCGTCATACTTTTTGACGAAACACATTTCCATTGAAAATTTTTGATGAAAAATATTTTCGGCAAATTTTTTGATAAAAAACATTTCTATCAAAATTTTCATTGGAACACATTTTCGTCAAATTTTTTTGAAGGAAATTATTTTTTTTAAAAAATTTCGACAAAAAAATATTCCGTCAAAATTCTTTACAGAATCTAAATTCTGTCGAAAGTTTCACAGAAACATTTTCCTCAAAATTTTTGAAAAAACTATTTCCGTTGAAATTTTCTCTAAGACACATTTTCATCGAAGATTTTTGACGGAAAATTCTTTGTCAAAATTTTTGTAGGAATTATTTTTTCCATCAAAACTTTTGATGGAATTTTTTTTTTCCGAAAATATTTAACAAATCATTTTCGTCAAACTTTTGACAAACTAAATTCTGTGGAAAATTAGCTTACCAAAAAAAAAAAAATTCTGTGGAAAATTTTGACTGAAAATTTATTTTTGTAAAATATTTCATCATATAAAAATTCCATCGCCTTCGATGAAAAGTATTCTGACGGAAAAGTATTTTTTTGACAGAATTTTTGTCGTTTTCAATGTAGAATTTTCGTTGAAAATATAATCTTTTTTAGTAGTGTGAAAATACATAAATAATTTTGTTTAGCAATTTTAAATTTAATTTAATTTGTAAAATATATTATTATATTAATTTTAGAAAAAGGGTAAAATTGTAAAAATTTCTCATTGACCCTCTAATTTCTCCCTTACCATTTTTTTAACTCCCAAACAAGATAAGGGAATACCCTCCAATTTCCTTCCCTTCCTTTCCCTCCAAAATTAATAAACTTCCAAACAAAGCCTTAAGGAACATCTAGATGGAGGTGAATAGGTATTCATAAAAATTTCAAAAACTTTTTGGTTAGTGGACTTAAATTGATAAGCCTAGAGAAAGTTGAACTGATAAAGTTCGATAGACACATCTATTAAACTTGAATAACAGTCCTCAAACTAGTTTTATTATTTCCAATTCAGTCAAGTAATCTATATTCAATTCAATATAAATTTATTTATTTCTATATGATATATAACTTTACTTTCTTAAACAAATCAAGAAATGATTAGAAAAATATTTAAATTTGTATCACACTTCTAATACAACAAATCAGAACAAATAAATCTATTATAGCACTTTTTAATGCAACAGAAAACTGCTATAGCACTTTCGAAAAAGAAACAAATGTTACTTTCAATCCCTATGTTGAAAATTTAGAAATTAAATCAAAGAGAAAGACACACGATATATCCTGGTTTACACCCCTTAGTGCAAAGAGATGTTACGTCCAACCTGAAGTACATGTTGATATTTTATTGATCACAAAACAATATTTTACAAACACACATCTCACATGCAATCAATCAAAATATCCAAAACTATCCTAGCTTTAAGAATTTTCTCAAGTCGAACCTAGGAGTTCACCAACTCCTCTCACACAAGAACTTACACTTCCTAGTGAATTCTTAGGGTCCTGACTAGCTCAACAACCACGCGAAGGCTCTCGTAGAGAGTGTAAGAACCCGCACCGTTAATTAAGGAAATTAAGTAATTAATTATGTTAAATTAGGAAATAATTTCATAATTGACCCTAATAATTATTAAGAGGATTTAATAATTATGATAAGTGATTATGAATGCTGAAAGTCGCTTTTCGGAAGAAAAGTGCAGATACCAGTTCTGCTAGTCGCTATAAATGCGTACCGAAAAAGTATCCCGGAAAATTATAATAAGTTCATGATAATTCCTAGAAATATATATAGGACATGTAAAACGAGTTTCATGTTAAAATAATGAAAACTGGTGCCAGAAACTGATACTGGCTATGAAAAGCGCGTACCGAAAAGGTGCTTCGAAAAATATTATAAAAATATGATAAATCTTAGAAAAATAAGTAGATTAAGAATCCCGAGTTTGGGATTAAAATGATAAGCGTAGAAATTAAAGTTAATACTGTGTGTTTAATGCTTAAGTGGCCTATAAATACTCTTATTAAGGGCACACAACCCTAGAAAATAGACTTCTATGCGTGAGTTGTTGAGAGGCTGATCAGTTTGGCTGCTCCTTTGGGTTTTCTTCTCTATTTCTTGAGCAAGTTGGCTCCTTTGGCTTTAAGTTTTCTCTTTTCTTCATCTTTAGCACTATGGTTGGGTGCGATGGTCACTTGTGAGTGGGAGAGGAGCTTATGTTCTGAGTTGTGTTGCTGTCTTAGTGAGCTTGAGGTGTTGTCTTGTTGAGTTGGGGGTTGTGGAGTCATCTTCTTGGTTTGTGAAGCTTCAAGGAGCTTCCTTTGTGAAGCTTCAAGAAGCTTCCTTTGTGAAGAAAGGGCCAAGCTTTGTGGCATTTTCGTTGGTCTTGTGTAGTCAGTTTGTTGGAGCTGGTTGTGAGCTCCAAGAACAGCCTTTGTTTCTGCTTTGAAGCCTTGTGTATGTACCTCAACTTGATCATGAGTTTTTATGCCTAAAAATGGAACCTTAATGCATGTAATGGTTAAAAGATGATAATCTAACTTGGGGTAATGTCAAACACACCTAGAAATGCATGTTTAGGCTGCTGTAATCGGTAAAAATGGAACCTTGGAGGGATATCTTCGCGAAATGCAGAAACTGCATTCTGTCGCGAAATATCTGGATATTTGCTCGTGAAATATTCGGATATTGATATCCGGATATGAGTATCCGGATATTGATATCCGGATATGGGAATCTGGATATCCGGATATTGACATATGGATATCTGGATATTATGGGATTTCGTAGAACAGTAGCTGTGTTGTGTGTACAGTAGGCTATTGGGGGTTTGTAGACCCTAGATTGATGAAGTTGAACTTCAGTTTTTAATGAACTAAGTCAGAATCATGTGATTAAGGGCTTGTGGCTTTGTTAGAAGCCTTAAGACGTAAAACGTAAGGAAATGCGTTGTCTTTATGTTGTATGCTTATAGAATACGATTATTGATGTATTATTGGTCCATAACAGATTGTGATACTGCTGTGTTTGGGCTTTGAGATTGTGGACTCTTGGCTTGGGTAGCTAGCTTGCAAGGTAAGCTTTTGTGTCCTCAGTTTAGCCATGTTGTGGTTCCACCATGCCCCATGGGGGTATGGTTATATGCATGT